GTGAAGATTAGATGAGCGATGACAATGGCGGCCTATTTGGCTGCCTCCGCGGCACAGGCGGAGATAGGTTGTGCGTTAGGGAGGCGATCGCCATTGAGGGGGAAGAGAGGAAGGCGAGCGGGGGGGGGTTTAGGAGGAGGAGGAGGAAGAGAACCCACCAGGTTGTGCGCCTCGTCGAATATGAGCACGGCTCCTCTCATCTCAAGAACTCGGAGGTTCTTGCGGTAGTCTTGGTCCAGCACGTAGTTGTACGGCATGAAGATGATCTCTGCTTTCTCGAGGAAGCCCCGTGAAACGTAGTAGGGGCAGCTGGTGGGGGCAAGGGGCGGGGATGGGGACAGAGGCAGGAGCGGAATATGGATGGAGGGAGTTTCGATCAGAAGTATGCACTGGTACTCTTGATCCAGCACGTAGTTCTAGGGCATCAAGATTATCTCCGCTTTCTCGAGAAATCCCCTCGAGACGTAGTAGGGGCAGATGTGGGCCAAGGGGCAGGGACGGGGAAAAACTCCACCAATCTACACCAGGACAAGCTGAGACACCACTTGTGTGTGGTGTCTCAACAAAGGAGCAGCATGGAGGCAACAGCTGGGAGACTTATTTGGAGTGGATGTAACGAACACCTAGAGATGCATTCTGAAAGAGCTGTTGAGACGCACGCTGTATTGTATGTGGCGAGAAAGGAAGAGCAAGGACCGAGATGGGGAGAGGTGGAGTGGAGGGAACAAGACTCACGGTCCTTCCATCTGGCCCAGCTTGACGAGGTCTTCAATATCGTGCGGCTCTGATGCCTTTTGCGGGTTCATCCTTACATAGTCTGGGAAGTGAAACGGAGAAACGGGGGGAGTAGAGAGACACTGTAGAGCTCTGAGGTGAGGAGAGGGGACGAAGGAGGTGCTGTAGGGCGCAGATGCCTTGTGCGGGTTCGCCCAAACCTATGTATAGAAAAGGACATTGAGGGAGAAAAGAATAATGAGGATTCACCAAGGTTGGGAAGACTGAGTGTGGCTCTCAGTTCATGTGAATCTGATACGTTGACCAGCAGGAAGGAAAGATGGGTAACAGGAGAAGCTGAAAAGGCAGTGGGGAGGTGAGAGGGGTAGGAAATGTGGGGGAGAGGGGGGGAAACGTAGCAGCCTGACATGCGGCCATGAGATTGCGGTGGCACTTGCGCTGTTTAAAGTGCTATTCAAAACACCTAAAACAAAGCAACAGCCTGACCTGCGGCCATGAGGTTGTGGTGGCACTTGCGGCGTTTGACCAGCTGCCTGCACGTGTGGTTCTGCGCCTTGCCTTTCAGCTTGCCCACCTTCCTGTGCACGCATGTGTGCTCCCTTGAACCCAGAATGCACATGCGCGGCCTGGTTGGGAGAAAAGGAAGGAGAGTAGAGCACAGAAAGAGATTGGGGAATGCCCAGAGGCGCAACAGAGCGTGTGGTTCTGCGCCTTGCCTTTCAGCTTGCCCACCTTCCTATGCACACATGTGTGCTCCCTTGAACCCAGAATGCACACGCGCGGCCTAGTTGGGAGAATAGGGAAGGAGAGCGACTGGAAAACGCTTTCAGGCGCCTCAGATGACGTGCGATTCTGCACTCTGCCTCTCATCTTAGAGACGCAAACGCAGAGTTTCCTGCCTAATAGATTCCCAGCCGCCGCCTAGATGCACGCATGTCCTCTCCCATTGCACTCACCGGTACGTGGTTGCTTTCAGCTCTCGCACCACTTGCTGCAGCTGGGCATGTGTGCGCGATGCATAGATAATTGTGGGAATGCGCTCCTCCCCCTCTCCGCCAACCCCGTCTTCCCCCGCCAGTGGACATACTCCGCCATTTCCCCCTGGCAAACCGTTCCGCGCCCCCCCGTTCCCCCCTTTCTGGCTCCCCTCGCCGTGTTCGGAGCAACCTCCCATTCCCGCGGCACCTTGCTGCTTCCCCAACCCCTGGGACCCCATCCCCTGCGAACCCTGCGACGATTCGCGCGACTCCTGCGACAGGCGCACCGTTGCGCATTCCCCGTCATCCGCCCCCTGACTTGGATGGCGCACCGTCCCCCGCCCCTCGCGCACGGCTTTCCGCTGCTCCGCATCCCGGCGCTTCTTTGCGCGGATGAGGCTGGCCTGCCACGCCAAGGACGCGCAGAGCAGGCAAAGCGTCTTCCCCGTCCCCGTCGGCGATTCCAGCAGTCCGTTTCCCCCCTGCACCGGAAAATACGGGCATTTTTTAACGATTAGAATACTAAAGGTTGACGAGTTGCGCTAGTAACGAGGCACACAGTATGCGGAAGCATCTTCCTCCCCAGGCGGAATAAAGAGCACAGAGGGCAGCGCGATGACAAGGAATTACGCGAGGGACAAAATAAAGAGCACAGAGAGCAAAGGTTGCGGGCCACGAGGGAGCGGCGAGGGCGACGAGGCGATGGATGGGTTTCAAAATGGGCTCAGGAAGAAACGCTAACGCAAAGAGAACGGGCTTCGAAAGAGACGGTAAGGCAAGGTAACGGCGGTTTTGACAGATTCGGTATTCAACAGAATGGTCGTGGCTTGGCTTTGAATCTCGCTCAGCATGGCCGAGGATCAAGGACGCATGTGATGAAACGCGACACGGAGGAGAAAAGCAAAGGAGGGGAACAGAGGCTATCGCACCTGAAGGAGAGACTGCATGACTTTAGTCATGTACACAATCTGGCAGTCATACGCCTCGTATGGAAACGACACGGGTATCGAACATATTTTGTAAACCGGCATAGCTCGTAGTGTGAGTGGAAACTAACGTTGATCTGTTACGCCGTAACTACTATTGGTCGCTTCTACGACGGCACGTATCGATCAAACTCGTTGCGTCCTTATCACGTATTGTTAGCGCTGAGACTGCTTTGGACATTTAGCGGCGCGATTTCACACATAACGCAAGTACAAGTGGAAGCAATCTCAGGGGTCTGAGTTAGAGAGCCAGGGTAGTGAACTTCAGGAGTCGGGACCTTAGAGTTGTGAGCAAAATATGACCGTTGGGGCCTTGGAAGCATGTGGCGACGTGGGATGTGAACCTTCCTTGCAGTGGCGGGAAATTCAAAAATTTTGATTCCCAAGGTCCTACCTCTTTGTTTGAGGATGTAGTGTAGTACGTACTTTGTTTTTTTTAATTGTAATTGAAAGCATACACCGATGAGACAAGTGCAAGCTAACAAAAACAGTCGTAACTGCGCGTGAGGGGCAGGGCCTTCTGCCCCAGATGGGCTTCTAAGGAGGGTGATGAATCATGCGTGGGTTGGTCCAAATTGTCTCAAAGGACCTGACCCACGTCAGCTTCTTATCTCCAGCTGTCTTAATCCGGTCCAGCAGCTTTTGCTCTTCCGCCATCCACCGTTGTATTTTGTCCTTATGACCAGCTCTCTTCCTTTTTCGACACGTCACGTCCCTCGCCTTGATGTAAACCCTCACATGCAGCCTGAGCGCGAAAATAATCCGCCTCAGCACTCGGCGCGTTCTGAACTTCTTCCCCCGGAAAACCGCGTCACATCGCTCCAACCAAAGCTGATGTAACGAGATGGCAATCGATGTCGCTTCCGGGAAGGCTGAGCTGGATCCCGCCTTCTGGAACAACAGGTCCCCCAGATCAGACACTGTGCGCTGTGGATTGATCAACCGCAGCGCCCGCTTCAGAGCCGATACCACCGACTGGATTTTAGGGCAGGTGAAAAGGCAGTGCTCCAGTGTCTCCTCCTCGGAGCAGTGCGGACATGCAGGCTTGCTGCTGAGATATGCCAGCCTTTCTCCAACTTGAAGATTGAAATTATGGATTCGGGTAAGCATGTCTCTTGGTCTGCTTGGTGTGACGAGGGACTCTCTGATGCCCGTCGCTCTGTTCCAGTCAATTCGCCCCGCCATCGTTCCGCCCACTTCAGCCTTCTGTGCGACTGCAGCTTTTCCCCCTTCCAGAAACTCTTCATCTTTGCAAAGGGGATCACCTTCCCGTCCTCGAACAAGGGGACTTGCGGAAGCTTTTGCGCTGCTGTAGGCACCGAGCCAGCCGAGCACTCGCCAGGGGTCAGCGGAGTCTCCTTCCATTCTGTTGGGGCCATCTCGAGAGCTTTCAGCGCCACCCTAGCCGGACCTTTGTCCCCCAGCTCCTCTGTCAGCTCCTCCATGGATTTTTTTGCCCAGCTTCCATCAGGTAACTGCTTCACCAGATCACCTAGCCGGGTCTCCCACAACGCCTTCGCGTGTTTCTGTCCTCCCACCGGCGCAACCACTCCGACTAGAATTTTCCTGTTGAAAACCAGCCTCTCTTGCCCCACCGCCTCTCTTGTAAGTGGCACCGTCCGTTCACTGAGGGCGACTTCATGAAAGCTTCACATGTTTGTTTCCAGCGCTGACTCCTCCCTTCCCAATTCTTTAGGAGCTTGTCGTGCGATGTGAAGGTATCAAGCCCAAGCGGAAGATCCGCTGCCTTCAGCATCAGCTCCCGTTTGAGCTCATCGGCTTCCGTCATCAGCAGCCCCACTTTTCTGGCCGATAAACACGCCAACAGGACGTTGGGATCCTGAACTCCAAGACCCCCCCCTTTCCGCGGCGTGTAGAGCAGCTCCTTGCTCCACAACACAAAGTCTTTCGCTGGGGTAGCTTTATTCCCAGAGACAAAATTGTGCAAAAGCCTCTCCGTCTCGGCCCATATTTCCTTTGGGGGAGGATACACCTGCGCTTGAAAAGCGATCATTGGCGAGATGTAGCAATTTGACACCGCCGTCCGCGCCTTTTCTGTGAGGTATTTTTGCCGCCAACCCGTCAGCTTCTTTGTTACTCCCCCAAGCGTCTTTTCCCATGTTGGCAGGCAATTGCCGTCCGGCGTGACCCACACTCCCAGGAGGCGTTCTGCATCCTTCGGCCCGGCCCATTTGAAGGAACCCTCTGACGGCATGCCCAGGTTCGCTCCCAACGGCAGCACCACCGATTTCTCTTTATTGGTTGCCAGCCCGGATTTCTTCTCAAACTCCTCTAACACCTCCTAGGCCTCCTTGATCTGCTGCTTTCCCTCCAGGATCAGGGTGGTGTCGTCAGCATACCCCAGGTACGACAAGCGTTTCCCTGATGCAGTGTCGCACAACCCCAACTGCTTCCTCTCCACTTCTTGCACCAACGGCTCGACCACACACAGGAAGAGGTAAGGTGCTAGCGGGCAACCTTGCCTCACACCCGATTCCACGTCAATCCCTCCTCCCAGCCATCCGTTGATTAACATCCGCGTCGTCGTCTGTGCGTGCAGCCCTTCAACCCAGCCAACGAAACGGTCTGGGAGGCTCATCTTCCTCAGGACTTGGAAGATGAAATTCCTTGAGACCGAGTCGAACGCCTTTTGAAAGTTAACGAGCAGCAGATGCCAGTCCTTGTTTCCATTTTTCGCCGCATCAATGATATCGGCAACCAGAGCAACCGCGTCAATGAGCTTGCGTCCGGGTATGAAACCGTATTGCTCAGGTGAGATCACGTTGTGCAGCACCTTTTTCAATCTGTCCGCCAGCACTTTCGCCAGAATTTTGTAGGTGAAATTGAGCAGAGTGATAGGACGGTAATTTCCCAGCTGATTCTTGTCCCCCTTCTTGTGCAGAAGAATTGTCACCGCCCCTTTCGTTTCAGCGGGAAGCTTTGCAGTCGCAGTGAAGTCCTTGACCAGCGACATGAAACTTCCCCCCAGCAGATCCCAGTTGTTTTCAAAAAGCTCCTTCGGTAACCCGTCCAGCCCCGGCGATTTGTTTTTCGCCATGTCTTTGAAAGCCGCTTTGACTTCTTCCTCTGTCCAATCCGCTTCCAGCCCCCCAGCTTCCGCACTACCGAGGTAACGTTCCGGTCTTGGGGACCAATCACTGAAGTCTGTTCTTCGATCCGCTCCGAAAATCGCCCTGAAGAAGTCTAAGGTCGCCGAGAGAATACGTTTTGAGTCAGCGACCGGACCTCCCGCGACATTCAGTTCCAGAATCTGCGTGCGACTTCTCCTCGCCTTCAACTGCCTCGAGAGCTGCTTCCCGGAAATCTCCCCCGACATTTCCGCATCCAGGCCAGCCATCAGGTGATGCCGATCTCTTCTCGTCGCCTGATACTCTTTGAGTTGCCCTTCCTTTTCATCCAGCAGCGCCTTCCTCCGGTCACAATTGGGGTTCCCCAACACCTCCTGCCGGAGCCTTTCCACAGATCCCCGCAGGTGAGCGAAAGTCGCGCGGACACGCTTCCGCTCTTCCCTTGCGTAAGCCCTGCAGCCTGCGTTGAGCCTGGCGATGAGAAGCTCATAGCTGGCTCCGTCTGTTACCGCTGTACCTTGCAGTGTCTGTTCTATTACCTGTCGCACCTCTGGTCTGTTCATCAGTGATGCATGAAGTCTCCAGATACCTGGACCTGTGTGAACCTTGGCGTCTACCCTGATGGCTACCTGAATCGCGAAGAGGTGATCAGAGACACGCTCGGCAGGTGAGACATGCGAGACGTCGTCCAAGAAAGGAAGTAGTGAGAGAGATACCAGTGCTCTGTCTATTCTAGAGCTGGCTTTCTGTGCGTGCGAGTAGAAGGTGTATTCTAGTTTGCGGGGGTAAAGAGTTCTAAAGGCGCCTGAGAGCTGGAAAGAGCCACATCTAGTAAGAAGTCTGTCGTTATCCTTCGCATGACCGCAACCTGAGGTTCTGTCTAAAGCCGGGTCTTCTATCATGTTCAAGTCTCCTATCAGCAACAGGTGGGCGGTTGGGTCAACTTGGTCTATCATGGGGCCAAGATCATTGGCTACGAAGGCATTCCTCACGCCTATATCCGGGGGAAGGTAAACCGCGAATAAGGTAAACTGAATACCAGGGCCGTTGACCTCGGATCTAATGATTCTACCTGTTGGATGTGAGCAGGTGTTAAGAAAGGTGAGAGAGGGGTTGTGGCTAAGGACAGCGACACCACCGGCTTTGGCTAAGGGAGAGGTGGCTGCTACCGTAGAGAACTGTGGTGAAGACCAGTAAGTGTGAGAGGAGCCTAGCCTGGTGTCTACTAGAATAACGATACCGTCTGCGTCTCTGATCCAGTCAGTTACTCGTTCTTGCTTCGCGCTGTCTCCCAGGCCGTTAACATTGAGACACGCGCAGGTGAGAATGTTGTTCTTGTTACTCATTTGACCACCGCTTGGCAGCCTTTATTCATCCACAGGCTGAGAAAAGCTACTGAACAGGCTATACTGACAACTAGGCACGCTCCGGTCGCAATGTCAAACAGCATCGTCAGATTCCGTACTCCTTCTTTATGACCGTCAGACTTGTCTTTTCCAGTGACGCTTTGGTTGCAGAACCCAGCTCCCCCAGGTGAGTGAGGTGAGCAGCAGATGCGATGTGGTCTTTTGCAGACGCAAAACTCTTGCCGTGGGCTTTCTTGCAGTTGGCTTGCATGCACAGCCACTCCTCCCGGTTTGTCCCCGTTGAAATCAGTGCCAGAGCAGGGTCGCGAAGAAGGGGGAGGACTAACGGGTCGGTTCTCAATGATGCAGCTGCGCGGATCAAGCACACTGTCAGTAAAAGTGAGTCCGAAAGAAAGGTAAGCAGTTGTGGGTAAAAGCGAGAAGTCATTACCGTTAAGCCTGTGAGCCTTCCCTAGGGTCAAGTTCCATTTCCCCACATTGTTCTGTCTATCTACGGCGAAAACATTATGATACTTATCATAATGTTGACCTCCGCAAAGAGTGCAGGACAACGAGGGGTAGTGAACCAAGATCCTTCTCGCACGGTCAGCCGGGTCAGACACTGCGTGAATCCAGCGATACTGATCGCCAGGATGAGCGTACACCAGTCCCTTGACAACATCGGTATCCGCTCCAGTCACCGGATACAGCACGCGGTGGAAGCAGGATGCGCGTAAGAAGGCCGGACGCTTCCGGTTTGCCAAGTTGTAAGTCACGAAACGCTTGATCAGCAGGTCAATCTCGATCGTCGCCGAAACATCCTTGAGGACGACTTCAATCGCATGAGGATAGAGCACTTTCTCCCTCAGAAACTCCTTGTTGTCAGTGAAAAGCCAGTGTAACTTCACCAGTGAGCCATTAAGGCGCTGATAAACCACCTCTTTGCTCCTAACACATTCCGCATCATCAGCCAGGGCGAAGGAGATCTGAAGACGGCAGTAGCGGACCTTCGCGATGTAGATCGGGTTCAGAACCTGGAACTTTGCCGTGAGCAGCACGTCGGCTGAGAGCTCTGCATTCCACCCACGCTTCATCAGCATTTTCACAGCATCGATAACATAGGCAACCTCTTGAGCAAGAATAAAGGGAAGAAGCAGGATAATGGTGGTACGCAGCCTGGTTGCAGCTTCTTCTTCCAGATTAATCTCCATGTCGTCGTCAGAGTCCTCATCAATGAATCCATCCTCATCAATGATAACCGCCGGCTTTCCTTGTGTCGCGTTGTCCTTTGCCTTGTCTTCCACAGATAAGCCGGAACCACCAGCAGCAGCATTGTCAACAGTTGTCGCCATTTCCTCAGTGAGTTCACCATTTCCTCCCAACGACTTGTCCAGAGCAGGAGGAAGCGTGTCAGAAGAAGCAGGCGGGTCAGACGTCGCCTTGGAGCGGGAGCCTTTCGGGTGCGCCATGGTGCAATGACGACAACGTGGCCAAGAAAAGGTGCAAAAAGCACAATCTGAAGCCCAGCCAGGCTGATGATATGGCCGAAGTCTGAGCACTTCATTGTTAAGTAGTAAGGGTGGCTTGAGGAGCTCCTGCTGATAGTGCTGAGTTCCCGATGTTAACACCTTGAGAGCAGCGCGATGATTACAAGTGATAGTGATGATAGTGTTGTTAACTTTCGTAAAAGAAAAAACGCCATTGTCAATGAATCGTAGCCTTTGATGTCGTAACCTTGATGTTGCCTGACAGACCCCTGGGACGATCGTCTTATAACAAGTTGAGCCAATGTCAGCATCAATGACATGTCTCCCGGTAGCTTTGTTAAAGACGAAACTTATGATGTAATCAGAGGTCTGATCAGTGCTGTGTAACGCGGACATTGAGCGGCTCGAAGATGACAGAATCCATGGTGGCGAGGTGATCTCGGAAGTCATGAGGTAAGCCGTTCTAGGACGCAATAAGTCTCGTCAGCTCTTGAATATTACTACGTAGCACGACCGTGAAAAGCGGCACTGAAACGCGATTTTGAAATGAGTCTCTGAAGCGATTCTGAGAATCGGCAAATGCTACTGGCGTGGCGAAGCTGTTAGCTCTGATATTGATGGCGGTGCTGCGGAAAAGTAGTACAAAGTACGTACTTGTCAGTACGTACTTTGTAACAACGAGGCAAACTTTCAAGTGTTGTCACGGAAACGAATCGGCTCATGAATGATTACTTCAATTCTGCTGTTGGACATGGCATAGGCCTACTGTTCTCCAGAGCGCACTGGAATCCCATTGCTCCCATTGCCCGTGAAGCGCGGACAAACCACGGGCAGCATATCCCCAAACACTGATAGGGGATTGGTCGTCATCGGTCTCGAGTTCCTTGATTCACACAGTTGGCGCGCTTCTGCTGGATGCACGTGGACATTTTTCTTTTTGTGGGTAGCACCCCCTTGCTTGCTTTCTGAGCCACAGCAAGTACAATCGGGTCGGCGAAATTCGTTAGGAACCGCAATCTCCGTCGTGACAGCGAGTTGGGCCAATCAGATAATGTAAGCATGTTACACTTCAACGGGTGAGCTTTCGCCCAGGTTTTCGTCAAATCGCACACCAAACAACTCTTTCCCGCACGCCTGCCCTTGTATTCCGTGTGGTCAATCTTGAGGGATGACTCACAGTCCAACTCGGACCACTCACCCACCCATGTACGTACAACACTCTCCCTCCCAGGCAGGACTTCTTCAGGTTCCGCCTGAACCTCATAGTTCCTCTTTGCTTCACTGGAGCTTTCGTGCCTCTCACAAGCTTGTGCTCTGCTCACTCTCCGTGACGCGCGTTAGTTCCTCAGAAGCCGTCAGCTCTAGCAAACTCAAAGCGACGCCAGCCACCATTCCTTTGAAAAACAAGGAAAGGTGAACCAATACTATCTCGCTGAGAGCTATTGCTGCTGACAGCTCGTGGAGCGGCTCCAGAGCCACAGGTCCTTGTCAGCCAATTCGCCGCTCCTTTAGCCGCTTTCTTCGTTCTCCATCCCGATAAGTCACGTGGAAGCGTTACCGCAAATAAGCGTCGCCTGCACGCTAGCTTGTGCATTCCCCGCCCGGGGCCCAGTTGGTTATGGTGACAGGCTAGCGTAAGACATCACCGCGATTTTTCAAGTGCAAATTAATCGGCCATCGCGCTTGAATTGCCGCGAAATGGCGTGTCAACTACCAGGGATCCCGACCTTAGAGACCTCGCATAGACTCCCGACCTCCGAAAAGTCTCAAAGCCTTCCACCTGCCTCTCACCTAAGACGGACGGGAGCACTTAATGGCTACCAGGTGTTGGGACTCGGCGACGGGTTCTGTTTAACGTCGTCGGCTCAAGCTCACCGCGGCTACATTCAACGCACGTTCGCGTCGCCTAGGACTTCCTTCCCGGCTTCGTGCAGAGCGTCGTCTCAGAATAACGCGAACTCCGCGTCGTCACCCGGAGCGCAGCCCGACGAGATTAAGACCCGGCCGATCGGCCTCGTACCTTTGTCGAAGCAGCGACAGCGAGTCGCCTCGGCTGCCGTGACGACCCCCGCAGAAGGGGAGCTGGCGGGAAGCTTCGCTCCTGCGTCTCGCGAAACGAGTCGGCAGACGAGCGGCGCGACGACCATACCAGCAGCTGGAGCGGTGGGCGAGGAGCTGCAAGGGAGGCGGGAAGCGGACGGGGACGATTCGGAAGCGGCCTTATCAGCGCTGGGTCGACTGAGAGGAGCGCTTAAAGACATGCCGGATCGGTACTGGATCATCTTTAGCACATCGCTGGCGTTCGTTCTCTGCAACATGGATAAGGTCATTCTCCTTCTCGCCCCTTCCTGCATCATGGCTACGGTGATATTTTCTCGCTCCCCGAAGGAAATGACCGAACGCATGGCTAATGCGCCGACATTGTTTCTTACCTCTCCTTGTGCAACGCGTTCCTTTCACCTCGCTCCCTGCTGCTCGCCCCTCTCACCTCGAGTCCTTGCTCTCCTTCCCTCCCCTCCTCCCCCAATCCCCTCCACCGCGTGCGCGCAGGTGAATCTGAGCATCGCGATCATCCCGATGGCGCACGACTTCGGGTGGTCCGCGACGACGGTGGGCGTCGTGCAGTCGTCCTTCTACTGGGGCTACGCGCTCTCGCTGCTGCCCGCCGGCTGGCTCTGCCAAAAGTTCACCGGCACGTGCGTAACCCTTTATTTTGTGTGTAGTCACACGTGCATGCACCCTCATGTACTGCCATCCCCGACGACCTACTTCGAAGCCCACATCCCCATCCCCATGCCTCACCAACCCGTACCAGTCGCATACTAAGAGCGGGCTGCGGCCGCCCATCTGGTCCATCATCCCGGCTGACATTTTCGTTTTCCCTTGTCTTGTTACCGCCTTGCCTTCCACCTACCTCGATGCTTACACCCCCATGCTTCGCCAACGCATCTCAGCCGCGTGTTGCGCGTTGGTGTGCTCATCTGGTTCATCGCCCTACACCTATCTCCATGCCCACACCCATCTCCATGCCCACACCTATCTCCATGCCCACACCTATCTCCATGCCCACACCTATCTCCATGCCCACACCTATCTCCATGCCCACACCTATCTCCATGCCCACACCCATCTCCATGCCCACACCTATCTCCATGCCCACACCTATCTCCATGCCCACACCTATCTCCATGCCCACACCTATCTCCATGCCCACACCTATCTCCATGCCCACACCCATCTCCATGCCCAAACCTATCTCCATGCCCACACCTATCTCCATGCCCACACCTATCTCCATGCCCACACCTATCTCCATGCCCACACCTATCTCCATGCCCACACCTATCTCCATGCCCACACCTATCTCCTTGCCCACACCTATCTCCATGCCCACACCTATCTCCATGCCCACACCTATCTCCATGCCCACACCTATCTCCATGCCCACACCTATCTCCATGCCCACACCTATCTCCTTGCCCACACCTATCTCCATGCCCACACCTATCTCCATGCCCACACCTATCTCCATGCCCACACCTATCTCCATGCCCACACCTATCTCCATGCCCACACCTATCTCCATGCCCACACCCATCTCCATGCCCACACCCATCTCCATGCCCACACCTATCTCCATGCCCACACCTATCTCCATGCCCACACCCATCTCCATGCCCACACCCATCTCCATGCCCACACCCATCTCCATGTTCACACCTATCTCCATGTTCACACCTATCTCCATGCCCACACCTATCTCCATGCCCACACCTATCTCCATGCCCACACCTATCTCCATGCCCACACCTATCTCCATGCCCACACCTATCTCCATGCCCACACCCATCTCCATGCCCACACCCATCTCCATGCCCACACCCATCTCCATGTTCACACCTATCTCCATGCCCACACCTATCTCCTTGCCCACACCTATCTCCATGCCCACACCTATCTCCATGCCCACACCTATCTCCATGCCCACACCTATCTCCATGCCCACACCTATCTCCATGCCCACACCTATCTCCATGCCCACACCTATCTCCATGCCCACACCTATCTCCATGCCCACACCTATCTCCATGCCCACACCCATCTCCATGCCCACACCCATCTCCATGCCCACACCCATCTCCATGTTCACACCTATCTCCATGCCCACACCTATCTCCTTGCCCACACCTATCTCCATGCCCACACCTATCTCCATGCCCACACCTATCTCCATGCCCACACCTATCTCCATGCCCACACCTATCTCCATGCCCACACCTATCTCCATGCCCACACCCATCTCCATGCCCACACCTATCTCCATGCCCACACCTATCTCCATGCCCACACCTATCTCCATGCCCACGCCCATCTCCATGCCCACACCTATCTCCATGCCCACACCTATCTCCATGCCCACGCCCATCTCCATGCCCACACCTATCTCCATGCCCACATCCCACTCCAGCCGCATGCTGCGCGCGGGTGTGCTCATCTGGTCCATCGCCACTGCCGCCATTCCCTCAGCTGCCGCCTTCCTCCCCTCCCTCCTCTTCTCGCGTGTTGCCGTAAGTTCTTTCTCGCCCTCTTTCGACTGGTCCTCTCGCTCCTCCTCGCGTACTTCCCTCCAAGTCCTCTTCAGCACTTCCCTCCTTCCACTCACCTCACCCGTCGCTCCCTTCCATGCTCTCCCCTTCCTCCCCTTTTTAGCCAATAGATATTTCCCCCTCGTTTTCTGCCTTCCATCCCATCTGCTACCCAAACCCTCGCCAGCCTCCGTGTAACCATGCTCTCTCCCCACTATCGCTCTAAACATCTGCTGCTCCGCCGCTCCCTTGGGCCCTTGTCTTTGCTGTGAGCAGGTTGGATTCGGGGAGGGCGTTGCGCCACCAGCAGCAACCGACATCGTCGCCAGGTGAGAACCGAGCTGTGACCGCACTGCACCGCTCCGCACCCTGGAGTCGTCCGTACTCCTCTCCTCCTCTCCATCATAAGCTTTCCGCCTCATCCCCGTCAGGTTCTTCTCCCTTCCCTCCAACGCCTTAAGTGCGGGCACACGTCCATCGATGCAAAGGAGCGCCTGCAAGGCGTCGCGTCCTGTCCGTCCACCCATCCTCCCTTCCTTTTCGCCCGTCCTACTTTCCTGCCTTCACAGATCCATGCCAGCAGAGGAGCGTGCGCGTGGCATTGCGTTTGTGTTCAACGGGTTCAACGTGGGAGGCGTGGTGGGGTAAGTGTGGGGAGGGGTGGGAGAAGAGGGAAGGCGAGGGGTGGGAGAAGAGGGAAGGCGAGGGGTGGGAGAAGAGGGAAGGCCAGGGGTGGGAGAAGAGGGAAGGCGAGGGGTGGGAGAAGAGGGAAGGCCAGGGGTGGGAGAAGAGGGAAGGCCAGGGGTGGCGGGGAGGGGGGAAAGGCGAGGGGCGAGTGGGGAGAGGCGAGGGGTGGGTTGAGGAAAAGCAGGGGTTGAGTGGGTTGAGTGGAACACAGTGGGGGGCGGTTCATTAAGAAAGTGGGCATCGCGTTTTTGTTCAGTGAGTTATGAGTGTGAAGCGTGGTGGGGTCAGTGGGGGAAGGAAAGTCAGGGTGTGTGCTGTTTAGTGGGTTGAGAAGGCATTGCGTTTCCATCCAGTGAGTTATGAGTGGGAAGGTGGTGGGGTGAGTGCGGAGAGGCAAGGGGTGGGCGGGAGGGAGTGACATTTGGGGTAAGAGCTGTTTAACATCTGCAGCCACCCTTTCTCACCCTCTTTCTTCCCCTGGATCGCCTCCCCTCAACTTCGCCCCCCCAAAAGCCAATACATCTTCGGGTGCGCCTGGGTGTGTGCTGTTTACTAGCAGCGCCTGGGGTGGAAGTCCATGTTCTACATCTTCGGGTTCCTGTTTTCATCCCCTACTCTCCTCATTTCTCTCCGTGCTCGCCCTTCTTGCCCCCTTCCCAACCCCACTCCTACAGCCTGCTAGCAGCGCCAGTGCTAATCGAGCATCTGGGGTGGGAGTCCATGTTCTACATCTTCGGGTTCCTCGGAATTCTTTGGAGTGTTGCTTTCAACCCCAAGCCATCCGAGGTCACGTCAGAGGACTTTGATGAGTCAGCGGCTGCCAGCACCAATCAGGCGCTCTCCGTCTGCGTCTTCGAGGAGTGCCACGCGCCGGTACAATCTGATTTGATTTGATTTGATTTAAAATGTGGAGTTTCCGTTTTTTCCCAGACATGTCAAACCCGATGCCGTGTTTGTTATCAATCTCTCCTCTCTCTCGCTTCTCTTTCCCCTCTGTTCCCCCCCCCCCCCCCCCCCCCCACCCCCATCCTCCGCTCCCTTGGCGTCCCCTTGCAGGGCGACATAGTGAGTGAGGATTTGAGGGAGAGCGAGGAGGAGAGGAGGCTGGTGGAGGAGACGGGAGGGTCGGACGCAGCAGTGCCGTGGGGCGAGCTGCTGAGGAGCAGGGCGGTGCAGGCGGTGGTGTATGCCCACTTCTGCAACAACTGGGGCCACCACATCCTCCTCGCCTGGCTTCCCACCTACTACAGGTAAATGTCATGCGCTGCCATGCCATGCCATGCCATGCCATGCTATGGGGCTGGGTTTCTGGTGTGCATGCGGGCGGCATGGGTGTTTCTCGGCTGTGTTGGTCTGCCTTCTCAGGCACGTCAAGGCTGTGTTGGTCTGCCTTCTCAGGCACGTCAAGGCTGTGTTGGTCTGCCTTCTCAGGCACGTCAAGACTGTGTCTGAAGGTCGTCTTGCTTCTCTGTTCTTCTCCCTTGTCCTCCGCGATTTCTCTTCCTCACTTCTTTCTCCTTCCTCCCTCCCTTGTCTTCCCCTCCACTCCCTTCCCAATCCTCTTTCCCTCGCCTCCCCTCCCCTCCCCCTCCCCTCCCCTCCCCTCCCCTCCCCTCCCCTCCCCTCCCCTCCCCTCCCCTCCCCTCCCCTCCCCTCCCCTCCCCTCCCCTCCCCTCCCCTCCCCTCCCCTCCCCTCCCCTCCCCTCCCCTCCCCTCCACTCCCTCTCCTTCCTCCCCCCGCCATCACCAGCAAGGAGCTTCATCTGGATATCACTCAAGCATCGCTGGTAAGCACCCTGCTGCCAGCCAGTCACTCTTACCAAATCTCAGGCGAAGAAATAGTCCCCCCCCCCCCCCGGGCTCAGACTCGGTTGCCCCACATTTCCAGGCCAACTCGCTAGTCCATCCTCATTTCGTCCATCTCAGCAACCTTCCATCACCATTGCTTCAAGCGTTCTTTCAAATCAGGCTCGTGTTAACTCTCTTGACCGGTTTCCACACCTCTCAACTCCACTTGCTATTTCCTCCTGTGCCTATCCCCCACCTCATTAACCTCCCCTAACACCATTGACTCGCACTTCCAGTCCTCCATTCCATACCATACATCCATTCGACAATCCGTCTCCTCATCGTTTCTATAATCGTTTCCCCTCCTTTCTCCAAACTTCTCACCCCTTAACCCCTCCTCCCTCTCAGTTGTCTCTCCTGCCACTTCTCTCCATTTCCGTGTCAGTGGCGGCGGCGCCGGCAGCCAGCGAGACCATCCCTCTCCTCTCCTCATCATATCTATCTATCTGCTCCCTCCCTCCAACCCCAACCCCCTTCTCTCAGCTCTCACTCCTGCCGCCGCTTCTCTCCATCGCCGTGTCAGCGGTGGTGGCGCCGGCAGCAGACCGGCTGATTGCACAGGGCACGGATGTTAGCCTGGTGCGGAAGCTAGCTCAGGGGATGGCCTTCCTAGGTCCGGCAGCCTGCATGGCAGTGGCTAGCTTCGGCCCGGACCACAATCTCCCAACCTGGTTGCTTGTGGCGGCTCTTTCGGGTGGCATTGGCCTCTCTGCGTGCTCCTATGCTGGTATGGTTTTTTAGACGTCTCAAATGCTCTCCTATGCTGGTATGGTTTTTTAGACGTCTCAAATCTTCTCCTATGCTGGTATGGACGGATGGCTGCTAATAGCTCGCGTCACATGCTCACCACATCCCACCGCTTTGATTCCCCTCCATCCCACTCATTCAGTGCCTTTAACTCACATCACCACGCGTGCTTTCCTCTACTTCTTCTTCCCATCCAGCCACCACAGCAAACCCCCCCCACCCTTCTGACTCTTGTCTACCTTGCTGCCAAATGTTGAACCCTCTCCCTTTCCGCCAGGCCTCTATTGCTCGCATCAGGACATCTCCCCCAAACACGCTAGTGTACTGCTCGTGAGTCATTGCATGAACATGGACAGGCACACATTCGCTATACTGTTGGGTTTTTTCAAGCCTGCCAGTGCTATGCTCTTCCTTGCCCAGACAGACACAGGCACGCCATCTTTAGTCACAGCACCACCCAAACTCGCCTAACGGCCTGAGCATCGTCCGCTACACTGCTGTTGGTGGTTTGCTTTGCTATGGAAGGAGCACAAGTTGGTTATGGCCTATGGACAGCCAGTGACTGTGTTATGTTCCAGTATTTGCAAGTTTCTCTCGTTGATTGCTCTGTCTGTTTAAGTGCTGACGTACCTGGTGTGTACCTCTCCTCTGCTGTGCAGGGAATGTCAACGACAGTGGGGGCGATTCCTGGCATTGTGGGTGTGCCACTGACCGGCTATTTGTTCGACCAGACGCACTCCTGGGCGGTGAGTGCTCACTCTCCTTCCTAGTGTTGCTTTACTTGCATTACCTGTTGTTTCCAGTTCCTTGTCCTATGTATTGGACGTTTACATCTAAAGCACAGGTACAATCATGCAATCTCTCATTCCTTCACTAGTCACACTTCCATTCTTTCTGCCCCATCTCATTCTGCCCCATTCCTTTCCCAACAGACGGCCATGTTCCCGGCCTCTATCGCCTTTTACATCTCACGCACCATCATGTGATCGCTCTTTGCCGACTGCTCTCATTCCCTCAATAAACACACTCTTGTAGTTTCTGCCACACTCATTTCTGCCCCATTGTTCCCCCCCAGACAGCCATGTTCCTGCCCTCCATAGCCTTTTACATCTTGGGGACCACCATGTGATTTCTCTTTGTCGACTGCTCTCATCCCCTCACTAATCACGCTCTTCCTGTTTCTGCCCTATCCGTTTCTGCCCCGTCGGTCTCCCACCCATCCATCCCAGACGGCCATGTTCCTGCCCTCCATAGCTTTCTACATCTCGGGCACCATCATGTGGTCACTCTTTGCTGACTGCTCTCGAGCCAACTTTGGAGAGGACAAGACAAAGCTCAAGGAGGCCTAGCGGCCTCGCCATTCACTGTTGAGCCCAATGCTTAGCGCCTTGAGGCAAGGAAGCATAGGGCCGTCATGGGAGGGAGGCGTAGCGCCTCCCCATCCCATTGTTGGGCACACGGCAAAGCTCATAGAGCCGTAGCGCGCCTCCGCACCAGGAGGCATGGGTCTCCTCGCCTCGGTTGTTACGCCACCATCTTCTGACGGTTGAGATGTTCCTGACAGTTTCTGCTGTCAGCTTCTGGCAGTTTCCACTGATGAATGGCTGCTCATCTGCTTCGACGGGGAAGGAGCTGTAGTGTTGAAATTTTGTCTTCTTCCACAAAGGCGCGAAGGAGGCAGTGCAGAGGCAGCAGGTATGTGGAGGCGCCGGGCTTGCGAGCCGAAAGAAGCCATTGCTAAGGTGTCTTGAGGTGGTGCTCAGGTTGATACTAGTGGCTTGGAGGAGGCTGATAATATGAATGAAACCATCTGCTGCTAATGCAGAGCAATGGCCTTTGGCTCGTCCACTCCTGTAATGCCGCAAACACGCTACGTGCAAGGAGGGGGCTTCTGCGTGTCTGGCGCTGAGGCAGAATTCCTGCTGCGCCCTTTCAGTCCAGTCCGGCTGGAAGCCACCAGGATGGTCAATGTTGACTTGATTTGTAATATACTGCAGCTGTATGGATGACAACAAGTGTGGTATAGACCACCTTTTTGAGTTTTGTTCATGCTACCGGTATACCCCTGCTGGTTGACGACTACCGTAAGTTGCAAGAAAGCCATTACAAAATCAATCAACGAGAGTGCAAAATAATGAACCCCGTCCCAGCTTAAAGCCCGAGGTCAGCATGGTAAATTTTCAAGTTATGTGGATATGAAATAGGCTATACATGGGGGTCTGCGAAACCTATTTCGGTTATGTGCCTTTGGCGAGAACTACTTTCCTCCGCGAACAAGTGAACATCTCGCGGACACCAAACCTGCGAATCCCACCAAATCAAAGCGAAAAATGTGTCGCACGAAGAGACACTCTAGCCAATCCGAAGGTTTCGCACACATGGCCTCTCTTACGAGGAGCATCGAAAGTGTGGCTTGTTAGATTATATGTAATGTGTTGGTAGGCTGTAGTGGGGTAGACAATATAGGGTACAACCCATTAGGGTTAGGTACTTGTACTCTTGTTCCTTTTCAATGCACATCATTCTTGCCTAGCATCTTGACATGGTTTCAGAGCAGGAGGTCCCTAGGACCTACCGACCTTTTTTTTAGGGCCCACCGTCGCACGCATGCGGTTACCACGCTACCCCGCGCCCTACCCTCGATGCGCCCTCGTTGCGCCCTAGCTGCGCCCTCGTGCGCCCTCGTTAGCGCCCTCGTGCGCCTCTCGTTAGCGCCCTCGCGCGCCCTCGCTGCGCCCTCGCGCGCCCCTCGTTAGCGCCCTCGCGCGCCCTCGTTAGCGCCCTCGTGCGCCCTCGTGCGCCTTAGCTGCCCGCCGCGCTGCCCGCCGTCGCGCTGCCTGCAGCGCCGCCGCGCTGCCCGTCGCGCTGCCCGTCGCGCTGCCCGTCGCGCTGCCCGCGCTGCCTGCCGCGCTGCCCGTCGCGCTGCCCGCAGCCGCGCTGCCCGCCGCGCTGCCCGCCGCGCTGCCCGCCGCGCTGCCAGCTGTCGCGCTGCCTACCGCGTCGCCCGCCCGTCGCGCAGCCCGCTACGCTCGCTGCCCGCCGCGCTGTCCGCCGCGCTGCCCGCCGTGCTGCCCGCTCGGCTGCCCGCCCGTCGCCCTAGTTCGCGCCCTCGTGCGCCCATCGTTAGCGCCCTCGTGCGCCCGCGCTGCCCGCCCGTCGCGCTGCCTGCCGAGTCGCCCGCCCGTCGCGCAGCCCTCTGCGCTGCCCGCCCGCCGCGCTGCCTGCCCGTCGAGCTGCACGCCGCGCTGCCCGCCAGCCGCGCTGCCCCCCGCGCTGCCCCCCGCGCTGCCCGCTGCGCTGCCCGCTACGCTGCCCGCCTCGCCTGCTGCTCCCTGCCCGTGCACCGCCACTTGATCCCGCTGCGGCTACTAGCCTCGCTCTAGCGCGTCCCCTCTGCTGCTGCCGCTGCTCTGCTGTGCCCTCACGCCTGAGCTATGGCCTCTATTCGCGTTCTTTCCTTCGATGCTGAGGGCCGTCCCGTGCAGTTCACTTCCTGGCTCGACGACCTGCAGTTGTATCTTATGAGCAATAGCACGGACAATGTCTCCCTCTATGACTACGCGTCTGGTGCTGCCGCTGCTCCTGCTGCCACAGCCGAGCTTAGTGTACGTTCCCAGTGGCAGACTCGTGACGCTGCAGCTCGCCTTGCTATCCGCAGTCACCTGCCGTTCGCTGAGCTAGAGCACTTTGGCGACTGCAAAACCGCTAAGGCCCTGTACGACGCTGTCGTTGCTCGCTACTCCTCACCTGCCACAGCCGAGCTTAGCCGCCTCATGCTGCCTTACCTGTTCCCTGAGCTGTCCACCTTTGCTACAGTCGCCGATCTCATCACCCACCTTCGCACTAGTGACGCTCGCCTGCGTGCCGCCCTTCCCACCGAGTTCTGCGCTAAGAACCCCCCTCCACTGTACTGGACGCTCCATTTCATAGTCACCCGTCTCCCTGACACCCTCAGCTCAGTCCGAGACTACTTCCTTGCCCGCTGTCCCACTGAGCTCACAGTCGCCCTCCTAGAGGAGAAGCTGCTAGCAGCCGAGAAGAGCATTGTAGCTGTAGGTGCTGCTCGTGGCGCTCCTCGCACCCCCATCTTTGAGGGGTGTTCTCCCTCTCCCCTCGCTCCCTCCTACGCTACTGCTGCTGCTGTTGACCTCCTTGGTGCTGAGTCTGCTGGCGCTGCTTCTGCTCCTGGTGGGAGGCGCCGCACCGGCAAGGGCAAGGGGGGCAAGGGTGGTGGTGGTGGCGCTGGGGGGGGAGGAGGTGGGGGAGGTGGGGGGGGAGGCGGTGCTGGAGGGAGCGGTGGCGGGAGTGCTGGTGGGGGTGGAGGCAGCGGTGGGGGCGGGGGCGGCGGCGGGAGTGGTGGCAGCGGTGGCGGCGGTGGCAGCGGTGGCGGCGGTGGCAGCGGTGGTGGCAGTGGTGGCGGTGGCGGCGGCAGCGGTGGCGGTCGGAGCGGCGGTAGTGGCGGCGGTGGTGGTCGGAGTGTGGGCCCCAGCTCGGGCCAGTCCTCGCAGCAGCAGCAGCGTCCTCAGACGACCCAGCAGCTCCGTGAGTGGCTTGCTCAGCGTGGGACGTCGGGAGGCAGTGGTCGCTGTTCCTATGTCATTCGCACAGGTGAACGCAAGGGGCAGAAGTGTGGGAGGTTCCACACCCAGTACCGCTGCTTCTCCCACCTTGACGACGCTTGGCGTGAGGAGATGGGCGAGGAGGTTGAGCGCCCCCGCTGGGCTGATCTGATGAGGGCTGGTGTTGATATCTTTGCTCTTGATTATGATGCTATTATTGCTGCCATGTATGCATTGACTGTTAGTGCTGAGGGGGACTGTTACTTGTGTGTGCCGCCTGACCCAGGTATAGAGCCCACTGCCCTAGGTACCAGCGAGTCTGCTCTCTCAGGTACTGTGCCTTCCGAGGCTACTCCCTTCGGTACACCCCCTCCTGCTAGCGAGTCTGCGCTCTCCGGTACTGCGCCCGCTGAGGCCTTGCACACCTTCACGCTTGACTCAGGTGCTTCCCGCTGCTTCTTTCGTGACAGTACTGAGCTCACTCCCCTCCCTGCACCAGTTCCAGTCTCCCTGGCTGACCCCTCCGGGGGTCCAGTTCTTGCACGGTCTACCACTGTGCTTCCCTGTCCGGCGGTTCCGTCTGGCTCGTTGTCGGGTTTCCACCTCCCCTCGTTCTCTACGAACTTGGTGAGCAACGCTGTTATCCAGGATCACTGGGTTGACACCTTCACCCCTGGAGGACAGCGTGTGGCGATCTGTACGTGCTCCAGGACTGGCCGTCACCTGGCTACGTTCACTCGTCAGCCGGGGTCGAGTCTCTACACACTGACCACTGTGTCTCCTCAGGTCGCTGCTGTTGGTCAGGTGTCTGCGTCAGGTCTAGTAGCCCACCCCTGTGAGCGTTGCTCCCTGTCGCACCAGACCCTTCTCTGGCACCACCGCCTGGGTCACCCCTCCTTGCAGCGCCTTCGTGGCATGCACCGTCGTCACCTTGTGTCCGGTCTTCCCCGGTCTCTCCCTCCCCTCCCTGCCTCGCCTGCGCCGCCTTGCCTTCCTTGCGTCGAGGGGCGGCAGCGCGCCGCTCCTCACTCCTCCTCGTTTCCCCCGACCGAGGCTCCTCTGCAGACCCTCCACCTGGACGTGTGGGGCCCGGCCCGCGTCCGTGGACAGGGCGGTGAGCGGTACTTTCTGCTGGTTGTCGACGACTACTCGCGTTACACCACGGTCTTCCCCTTGCGCACCAAGGGTGAGGTCCCTGCTGTTCTGATCCCTTGGATCCGCACAGTTCGTCTCCAGCTCCGCCGCCGGTTCAGGACAGAGCTTCCTGTCCTGCGTCTGCACTCTGACAGAGGTGGTGAGTTCTCCTCTGACCTCTTGAGGGCCTTCTGTCAGGCGGAGGGCATCGAGCAGTCCTTCACGCTTCCGGACTCCCCGCAGCAGAATGGGGTTGCAGAGCGCCGCATTGGCCTGGTCATGGAGGTCGCTCGTACCTCCTTGGTTCATGCGGCGGCTCCCCATTTTCTGTGGCCGTTTGCTGTCCGGTACGCGGCGCATCAGCTCAACCTCTGGCTCCGTGTCTCCTTGCCGGAGACCTCGCCCACACTGAGTTGGACGGGGGAGGTCGGCGATGCGTCGCGCTTCCGGGTGTGGGGCTCTTATGCCCTTGTCCGCGATACTTCCGCGGACAAGCTCTCCTCCCGCACACTTCCCTGTGTCTTCCTTGGCTTTGTCCCTGATGCGCCTGGCTGGCAGTTTTACCACCCCACCTCGCGCCGGGTCTTCGCCTCTCAGGACGTCACCTTTGACGAGTCGGTTCCTTTTTACCGTCTCTTCCCCTACCGCACTGCCCCCCTCCCCCCTCCGCCGCTCTTCCTCGCTCCAGGTCCCCCTCCGGTAGACCCCCTTCCCCCTCAGGGTCCTGCTCCTTCAGGTGTCTCTCAGGTAGACCCTCCTCCCGTCGCTGAGCCTGTCGAGGTCACAGGTGACTCAGGTGCTGCTGCGGGTGGTGCTGCTAGGGGTGCTGAGCCTGGGGGTGCAGAGCCTGGGGGTGCTGAGCCTGAGGGTGCAGAGCCTGGGGGTGCTGAGCCTGAGGGTGCGGAGCCTGGGGGTGCTGGGACCGTGGGGGTGGGGCCTGGGGGTGCTGTGCCTCGAGTTGCTGCGTCTGGGGGTGCTCAGGGTGTTGAGTCGCCTCTTCAGGAGCCTCTCACACAGCGGCAGCTCCGTGAGTGGTACGTCCGGCGCTTTCGCCTTCCGCGTGGTGCAGCTGGAGCTGGAGGCGCTGAGACTGGGGACACTGGTGCTGGAGGTTCTGGCGGTGCTGCAGCTGCTGGTTCTGGGGGTGCTAGTCCTGGAGGTACTGCGGCTGCCGGAGCTGGTTGTTCTGGAGGTCCTGAGCCTGGTGCCACTGGAGCTGGAGACACTGGAGCTGGAGGTACTGGAGGAGCTGGTTCTGCTCGTTGTCGCGGTGCTCCGTCTGAGGGAGCTGAGCCTGTGCTTGAGGGGTCTGGGTGTGCTGCGTCTGGGGGTGCTGCGTCTGGGGGTGCGTCGCCAGTGGAGGCTGCGCCCTGGACTGGCCGCCTTCGTTCGCGTGTTCCTCTCACCTCCCAGCAGCTGCACGACTGGTTCGGTCGCCGTCAGCGTCGCCCTCCTGGAGCTCCGGGCTCTACTGCTGGTGGTGCCTCTACTGCCGCCCCTGGAGCTGAGAGTGGTGCTGGTTCGTTGTCTCCTGGAGGTACTCCCGTCGCTGGTCCCGGAGTTGCTCATACCGCTGGTACTCGAGCTGCTGGGGCTGGTGGTGCTGTGTCTGAGGGTACTACCGCTGGGGACGCTGCGACTGGAGACCCTGGGACTGGAGGTACTGGTTCTGGGGGTGCTGCTGCTAGTGGGGACAGTCCTGGAGGAGCTGACACTGGGGGTGGTGGTGTCGCTGGAGGTGCTGGAGCTGCTGGTGCTGGCGGTACTGTACAGTCGCGCCTGTTCTTCGCTCCGCCGTCGCCGTCGTCTCTGCCGCCGTCTGACTCTGTCCTTCGCCAGGTTCTTAGTCTTCCGTCTTCTACTGGTCTTCCGTTACTGCCTGGCTCGCCCTTGCCTGCTCCTTCTCCTTACACTGAGCAGTCAGGGGGTCTTACTGAGCGTCGTGAGCCTGCGTCGCGTCCTGTCTCGCCTGTTCGTTCTGGTCGTTCCGCTCGCCGCGTCTCGCACCAGCGTTCGCCGCCTGTTGCTGGTTCTCGCCTTGTCGTCCGTCGTCCCTCCTCTGTACCACAGTCGGTTCCTCTGCCGTCTCCTCCTGCGTCTTCTTTGCCTGACGTTCCGGACCCTGCGTCTGACCGTTTTCGTGCACCCTACCGTCACGCGTCTGTTAGCCACTGCTGTCACTGACCCGTCTTTTGAGTCGGCTGCTGCGTCTGCCCTGGTCGCTGAGCTTGTTGACTTTGCTGCTGTCTGTCGTCTAGACTACACTGCCAGTCTTGTTACTGAGTCTGAGTCTGTCTGTCCTCCGTCCGTCGGGGGTGAGTGTGCTCTTGGCACGGACGTCCTTGAGGACAGGCAGGAAGACTTTGACTTTCTTGCGGCTGCTGTACCTCATCTCGTGGCCTGGCTGCTTGCCCCTGAGGGAGACCCGGATGCACTAGACATCCCCACTCCGCGCTCTTACGCAGAGGCGATCTCGGGTCCCTACTCCTCTCAGTGGCAGACAGCCATGGACGCAGAGATGGCATCCTGGAAGTCCACAGGCACCTACGTCGACGACGTTCCCCCTCCAGGGGCGAACATCGTCGATGGCATGTGGATTTTCAGGGTGAAGCGGCCACCGGGTTCTCCGCCTGTCTTCAAGGCTCGTTACGTTGCTAGAGGTTTCAGTCAGCGACAGGGAGTTGACTTCTTTCAGACCTTCTCCCCCACCCCGAAGATGACCACTCTTCGGGTGTTGCTGCACGTTGCTGCTCAGCGTGACTACGAGCTGCACTCTCTTGACTTCAGCACAGCTTTCTTGCAGGGCACCCTGCACGAGGAGATCTGGCTGCGCCGCCCTCCTGGCTTCACTGGGTCGTTCCCTCCTGGTACCCAGTGGAGCCTTCGGCGGCCAGTCTACGGTCTCCGCCAGGCACCGCGCGAGTGGCACGACACACTGAGGACTACACTTGCGGCCCTTGGGTTTGCTCCTTCCACTGCTGACCCGTCACTGTTCCTGCGCACAGACACGTCGCTGCCGCCGTTTTACATCCTCGTATACGTCGACGACTTGGTCTTTGCTACTGCTGACACTGAGGCACTCGCTCGTGTGAAGTCGGAGCTGCAGAAGAGACATACCTGCACTGACCTGGGTGAGCTGCGCAGCTACCTTGGCCTGCAGATCACCCGGGACAGAGCACGCCGCACCATCACCTTGACTCAGTCACACATGGTGCAGCAGGTCCTTCAGCGCTTCGGCTTCCAGTTCTCCTCACCACAGGCCACACCTCTGGCTACCAGTCACTCGCTCTCAGCTCCACCTTCGGACGAGTCCGTAGAGCCGAGTGGCCCGTACCCAGAGCTTGTAGGCTGCCTCATGTACTTGATGACTTGCACGCGACCTGACCTTGCGTACCCTCTTAGCATCCTTGCTCGTTACGTTGCGCCTGGGAGACACAGGCGAGAGCACTGGGAGGTTGCTAAGAGGGTGCTGCGCTACTTGTGCAGTACATCAGGCATGGGGCTGGTGCTTGGAGGACGCGACAGAGTTGCCCTCACTGGTCACTCAGACGCTTCTTGGGTGGACGACCTGGCTACGCAGCGGTCGTCACAGGGTTACACTTTCAGCCTTGGCTCTGGTTCTGTCTCTTGGCGGTCCACCCGCTCTTCTTCTGTTCTCAGCTCTAGTTGTGAGGCTGAGATCTACGCCACGGCCATGGCTGCACAGGAGTTACGCTGGCTCACCTACCTGCTGACTGACTTGGGAGAGCGGCCTAGTTCTCCTCCAGTTCTGTACGGAGACAACAAGGCGGCCCTTGCCTTGTGTCAGGAGCACAGACTGGAGCACAGAACGAAGCACATTGCTCTTCGCTACTTTCTTGCTCGAGAGCTGCAGCAGCGTGGTCAGCTTCGTCTTGTGTACGTGGACTCGAAGGCCAACACTGCTGATGTCTTCACCAAGGCGCTTCCGCCTAGTGATCATCAGCGGCACTGTACTGCGTTAGGCCTTGTGTCCACATTACCTCATTTGTTTGCTGCTTGACTTTCTTTGTACTGTGATTTATATATATCGCTGCTTGCTTGCTAGGTTGTGATCAGTGTGTTGCTTGCCTTGGTCTATATATACAGATATAGCTCTGCATGTGAACTGGCCTTGTGGCCTTTGCTTGTGTTCAGAGTGTGGTGACGTTGTGATCCACCCTGGGCTTGCTTTGCTTTGCTGGACTGGTCTTGTGACCCCTTGTTCTCCCCCACTTTGCCTATGGGGGTGTGTTAGATTATATGTAATGTGTTGGTAGGCTGTAGTGGGGTAGACAATATAGGGTACAACCCATTAGGGTTAGGTACTTGTACTCTTGTTCCTTTTCAATGCACATCATTCTTGCCTAGCATCTTAACATGGCTGCACGAGTAGTCTCCTCACCACTGCTAACGGAAATAGAAAACAGAGCGACGCATCTGCTACTTACAACGCCACCTACTAAGACAGCGCCGCTCAGTGTAAAATACGCAAAATTTCGGATCGATACAAGCGCATACACAAAGTCGTTGTGGTCGCGAGGGTGAGTGAAGCCACCTCACCACGCCTGCCCACGCACCTCCCTGAGTGGCTCAAGAAGTCGCGCCTCCCCTTCCCTCATCGAGCTTCTCCCCTCGTCGCGCTTCCCATTGTCGCGTTCCCCCGCCCATCGCGCCACCCCCCTTCGCGCCACTCATCCTTCCGTCACGCATCCTCTCGTGCCTCGTCTCCTGTCGTCGCGTCTCCCCTCGCCGCGCCTCCTGTCCCATCGTCACGGCTCCCCTCGTTTCCGGGAGCCTCCCCACGTCGCGCCTCCACTCGCCTCGCTGCGCCTCCGCTCGCCTCGCCGCGCCTCTGCTCGTCTCGCCGCGCCTCCGCAGGCCGCGCCGCGCCTCCGCTCGTTGCGCCGCGCCTCTGCTCACCTCGCAGCGCCTCTGCTCGTCTCGCCGCGCCTCCGCAGGCCGCGCCGCGCCTCTGCTCGCTACACCACGCCTCCGCTCACCTCGCCGCGGCGCCTCCCCTGCCATCAGCGCGCCAGCACCCTCGTCGCGCTGCCCCTCCTTGCGCCTCCACTCCCGCTGCCCTTCTCCCACCTGCCCATCCCTTGCCCGCGCCTCCCTGCCCTTCCATTTACCCCACCCTGATTTCCCTAATTTTAACACCCTGTTTCCCCTCCTTCCCCTCATTTACCCCGCTGCTTCCCCTCGTTTCCCCCTCTGCTCTCATCGTTCCCCCCCGTGCTTCCCCTCATCCGTGCTTCCCCTCATCCCTGCTTCCCCTCATCCCTGATTCCCCTCATCCCTGCTTCCCCTCATCCCTGCTTCTCCTCATTTCAACCCTGCTTCCCCTCATCCCTGCTTCCCCTCATCCCTGCTTCCTTCATTTCATCCCTGCTTCCCCTCATCCCTGCTTCCCCTCATTTCATCCTGCTTCCCCTCATCCCTGCTTCCCCTCATTTCATCCCTGCTTCCCCTCATCCCTGCTTCCCCTCATCCCTGCTTCCCCTCATCCCTGCTTCTCCTCATTTCATCCCTGCTTCCCCTCATCCCTGCTTCCCCTCATCCCTGCTTCCCCTCATTTCATCCCTGCTTCCCCTCATCTTTGCTTCCCCTCATCCCTGCTTCCCCTGATCCCTGCTTCCCCTCATCCCTGCTTCCCCTCATTTCATCCCTGCTTCCCCTCATTTCATCCCTGCTTCCCCTCATTTCATCCCTGCTTCCCCTCATCCCTGCTTCCCCTCATCCCTGCTTCCCCTCATCCCTGCTTCCCCTCATCCCTGCTTCCCCTCATCCCTGCTTCCCCTCATTCCTGCTTCCCCTCATCCCTGCTTCCCCTCATTCCTGCTTGTTAGAATCTAGCAGCAGGAATGAATGAACTAACAGCATGCAGGAGTACAAGTAGGAAACCCTAATTGGGTTGTACCCCATATGGGCTACCCCACTACAGCCTAGACAATATGCAGCATATATGTTTGACACACCCCCATAGGCAAAGTGGGGGAGAACAAGGGGTCACACGACCAGTCAAGAGACGCAAAGCAAGCTCAGGGTGGATCTCAACGTCACCACACATTCTGAGCACAAGCAAAGGGCCGCAAGGCCAGTCCACATGCAGAGATATATATAAGCAACAAGAGCAGTACAGTGATCAATACCTAGCAAGAGCAAGCATGCAGGTATAAATATAGAGCACAGTACACCTAAAAGACTACAGCAAGTGTGGAAACGTAGGCACAAGGCCTAACAAAGTACAAAAGCGCTGATGATCACCAGACGGAAGTGCCTTGGTGAATATATCAGCAGTGTTGGCCCGAGTGGCCACGTGTGCAAGACGAAGCTGACCACGCTGCTGCAACTCTCGAGCCAGAAAGTACCGCAGAGCGATGTGCTTCGTTCTGTGCTCCAGTCTGTGCTCCTCACACAAGGCAATGACAGCCTTGTTGTCGACGTACAGCACTGGAGGAGAACGAGGCCGCTCTCCCAGGTCGGTCAGCAGGTAGGTGAGCCAGCGTAACTCCTGAGCAGCCATGGCGGTGGCGTAGATCTCAGCCTCACAACTGGAGCTGAGAACAGAAGACGAGCGAGTAGAACGCCAAGAAACAGAACCAGAGCCAAGGCTGAAAGTGTAACCCTGTGACGACCGCTGCGTAGCCTGGTCGTCAACCCAAGAAGCGTCTGAGTGCCCAGTGAGGACCACCTCTCGCCGTCCTCCAAGCACGAGCCCCATGCCCGATGTACTGCACAAGTAGCGCAGTACCCTCTTCGCAGCATCCCAGTGCACCTTTCGGTGCTGACCAGGAGCCACGTAGCGAGCCAGAAGGCCAAGAGGGTAAGTAAGGTCAGGACGAGTGCAAGTCATCAGGTACATGAGGCAGCCCACTAGCTCTGGGTAAGGACCACTCGGCTCTACGGACTCATCCGAAGGCAGAGCTGAGAGCGAGTGACCTATAGCCAGAGGAGTGGCCTGTGCTGAGGACCAGGTGAAGCCGAAGCGCTGAAGGACCTGCTGCACCATGTGTGACTGAGTCAGTGTGATGGTGCGGCGTGCTCGGTCCCGGGTGATCTGCAAGCCAAGGTAGCTGCGCAACTCACCCAGGTCTGTGCACGTGTATCTCTTCTGCAGCTCGGACTTCACCAGGGCGAGGGCCTCAGTGTCAGCAGTAGCAAAGACCAAGTCGTCGACGTACGCGAGGATGTAGAACGGCGGCAGCGAAGTGTCGGTGCGTAGAAACAGTGAAGGGTCAGCAGTCGAAGGCGCAAACCCAAGAGCCGCAAGGGTAGTCCTCAGTGTGTCGTGCCACTCACGGGGTGCCTGGCGGAGACCGTAGACTGGCCGGCGGAGGCTCCACTGGGTACCAGGAGGAAACGTCCTAGTGAAGCCAGGAGGGCGGCGCAGCCAGATCTCCTCGTGCAGGCTGCCCTGTAGGAAAGCTGTGCTGAAGTCAAGGGAGTGAAGCTCGTAGTCACGCTGAGCGGCAACGTGCAGCAGCACCCGAAGAGTAGTCATCTTCGGGGTAGGGGAGAAGGTCTGGAAGAAGTCAACTCCCTCTCGCTGACTGAAGCCTCGAGCAACGTAACGCGCCTTGAAGACAGGCGGAGAACCTGGCGGCCGCTTCACCCTTAAAATCCACATGCCATCGACGATGTTCGCCCCGGGAGGGGGAACCTCATCGACGTAAGTGCCTGTGGACTTCCAGGATGCCATCTCTGCGTCCATGGCTGCCTGCCACTGAGAGGAGTAGGGACCCGCGATCGCCTCAGCGTAAGAGCGCGGTGTGGGGATGTCTATAGCATCCGGGTCTCCCTCAGGGGCAAGCAGCATGGCCACGAGATGAGGCGCAGCGGCTGCAAGACACTCAAGGTCCTCGTGCCTGTCCTCAAGGACGTCCGTGCCAAGGGCACACTCACCCTCGACGGACGGAGGACAGACAGACTCAGACTCAGCAACAAGACTAGCAGCGTAGTCTAGACGACAGGCAGCAGCAAAGTCAACAAGCTCAGCGACCAGGGCAGACGCAGCAGCAGACTCAAACGACGGGTCAGTGACAACAGTGGCTAGCAGACGCGTGACAGTAGGGTGCTCAGCACGAAACCGGTCAGACTCAGGGTCCGCGACGTCAGGCAAAGAGGACGCAGGGGGAGACGGAAGAGGAGTACGCTCCGGAGGAGAGGACCGACGCAGGGCTACAAGGCGTGTGCCGGGAACAGCTGGCTGACGCGGACGAGGAACACGACGACCGGTACGACTAGGACCAACAGGCGAGACAGGACGCGACGCAGGCTCACGACGCTCAGCAAGACTACCTGTCTGCTCAGTGTAAGGAGAAGGAGCAGGCAGCGGTGAGCCAGGCTGTAACGGAAGACCAGTAGACGACGGGAGAGTAAGAACCTGACGAAGAACAGAGTCAGGCGGCGGCAGAGACGACGGAGACGGCGGAGCGAAGAACAGTCGTGTCGGCGCAGCTGCACCAGTACCGGCAGCTCCAGCAGCTCCAGTACCTCCAGCAGCTCCAGCACCTCCAGCAGCTCCAGAAGCTCCAGCCCCAGAACCGACACCTCCAGGCCCAGGGTCTCCAACCTCAGTGCCTCCAGCAGCAGCACCCCCATTACCAGCACCTCAAGTCCCAGGGTCTCCAGCCTCAATGTCTCCAGCAGCAGCACCCCCAGAACCAGCACCTCCAGTCCCAAGGTCTCCAGCCTCAATGTCTCCAGCAGCAGCACCTCCAGACGCAGCACCCCCAGCCCCAGCAGCTCCAGTACCTCCAGTACGAGCACCTCCGGGACCAGCGACTCCAGCACCTCCAGTAGACAAAGTACCAGCACCACTCCTAGCTCCAGGGACGTCAGCAGAAGTACCTCCAGCAGCAGAGCCCCGGGCTCCAGCAGCGCGACCCTGACGGCGACCGTACCAGTCGTGCAGCTGCTGAGAGGTGAGAGGCACACGTGGACGAAGGCGGCTACTCCAAGGAGACCGCGCAACAGCAGACTCAGAACCCTCAGCACCAGCACTCCAAACTGCTCCAGAACCTCCTGCGCCAGCACCCTCAGCACCAGTACCTCCAGCAGCTCCAGAACCTCCAGCGCTAGCACCCTCAGCAGCTCCAGAACCTCCAAATCCAGCGCTACCAGGACCAGGCCCTCGAGCAGCTCCAGAACCTCCGGCGCCAGCACCCTCAGCAGCTCCAGAACCCCCAGTGTCAGTACCCTCAGCAGCTCCAGAACCTCCAGCAGCGCGGCCCTGACGGCCAAGGTACCACTCAACCAGCTGCAGGGAGGAGATGGGGAGCGGACGACGAGAGTGCAGCGGCGAGGCACCAGCGGAGCGACTACGGAGACGGCCGCTCCAGGGAGACAGCTCACCAGACGCCTCAGCAACCCCAGGTGCAGCACCCCCAGACTCAGTACTGCCAAGCTCAGCACCTCCAGGCCCCACACCCTCAAGCTCCGCACCCCCAGGCTCAGTACCCCCAGGCTCAGCACCCCCAGGCTCAGCACCCCCAGAAGGAGCACCCCGAGCAGGACCTGAGTCACCAGTGACCTCAACCGGCGCAGTCAAGGGAGGAGGGTCTACCTGAGACACACCTGAAGGAGCAGGACCGGGAGCGGGGAGGGGGTCTACCTGGGGAGCACCTGGAGCGAGGAAGAGCGGCGGGGGGGGGAGCGGGGCAGTGCGGTAGGGGAAGAGACGGTAAAAGGGAACCGACTCGTCGAACGTGACGTCCTGAGACGCAAAGACACGGCGCGAGGTGGGGTGGTAAAACTGCCAACCAGGCGCGTCAGGGACAAAGCCAAGGAAGACACAGGGGACAGCGCGGGCGGAGAGCTTGTCCGCAGTGGTATCGCGGACAAAGGCACGAGCACCCCAGACCCGGAAACGCGACGCATCGCCCACCTTCCCCGTCCACAGCAGTGTGGGCGAGGTCTCCGGCAAGGAGACACGGGGCCAGAGGTTGAGCTGATGCGCGGCGTACCGGACCGCAAACGGCCACAGAAAATGGGGGGCAGCCGCATGGATCATGGAGGTACGAGCGACCTCCATGACTAAGCCAATGCGGCGCTCAGCAACCCCATTCTTCGCACGATCCCGCACGCCATACCCCCACGCGCCATCCAGGATGGGTCTCGGCTCCAAACGCGCACAAACGTGCGTCCCACCCTATTTGGGGCGGGCCCGCCCCGGGGCGTCGTGAGCCATTTTTGCTCGAAAAAGCGAAACGGTCCGCACGCGTGTAGAAAAGTGCGAATCGCACGGCATTTCTTCGCACGATCCTGCACGCCATACCCCCACGCGCCATCCAGGATGGGTCTCGGCTCCAAACGCGCACAAACGTGCGTCCCACCCTATTTGGGGCGGGCCCGCCCCGGGGCGTCGTGAGCCATTTTTGCTCGAAAACGCGAAACGGTCCGCACGGGTGTAGAAAAGTGCGAATCGCACGGCATTTCTTCGCACGATCCCGCACGCCATACCCCCACGCGCCATCCAGGATGGGTCTCGGCTCCAAACGCGCACAAACGTGCGTCCCACCCTATTTGGGGCGGGCCCGCCCCGGGGCGTCGTGAGCCATTTTTGCTCGAAAACGCGAAACGGTCCGCACGGGTGTAGAAAAGTGCGAATCGCACGGCATTTCTTCGCACGATCCCGCACGCCATACCCCCACGCGCCATCCAGGATGGGTCTCGGCTCCAAACGCGCACAAGCATGCGTCCCACCCTATTTGGGGCGGGCCCGCCCCGGGGCGTCGTGAGCCATTTTTGCTCGAAAACGCGAAACGGTCCGCACGAGTGTAGAAAAGTGCGAATCGCACGGCATTTCTTCGCACGATCCCGCACGCCGTACCCCCACGCGCCATCC